TTCTTAAGGTCTTAGTCTAAGGCCTTAGGTCTCCTTGTCCCCAAGGACGCCATGCTTTTATAACACAACTGTCCTGAGGAGAAGGCAGAGATATACACTTCAAAGGGTATACAGAAATATGTCAGAATGGGGGAATTAGCCTACGGCTGTTCAGGTGTTTGGCCAGTAGGAGGCAATAACATGTAGATTAAGATGCCTTTTAGCTGCCTGGCAGCCAAGCAATAATCCCTTTTTAGGTTTGGGGAAATGCCCTCAGCCATTCCCAGATACAGCCCTGCTGTCATGCTGGAATTGGTCTCCGGCACTCAAGTAAATGCCAAACAGGATAAAAGACCCCCGGCAGGAATCCGGGCACCGGGAAAAGTCCCCGGGGGAACACTGGGAAATAGACTTCACAGAAGTCAGGCCCACGGCAGCAGGGTATAAATATCTGCCGCAGGGTATAAATATCTCCTAGTTTTCGTAGACACCTTCAGGATGGGTTGAAGCTTACCTGACTAGGACAGAAACTGCCACCATTATAGCTAAAATGTTACTCCAGGAAATAGTCCCCAGATTTGGCTTACCTGTAACTTTAGGATCGGACAATGGACCCGCTTTTGTAGCCAAAACTTCACAGGACTTAGCAAAGGCATTAAGTATTAATTGGAAACTACATTGTGCCTACCAGCCCCAAATTCTGGGCAGGTAGCATGCATAAATAGGACCTTAAAAGAGGTCCTCACCAAATTTACCTCAGAAACTGGTGAAAATTGGGCCACCTTACTCCCCTTTGCCCTACTCAGGGCAAGGTGCACTCCATACCAAGTGGGGTTCTCCCCACATAAAATTATGTTTGGGAGACCCCCTCTAATACTCCCAAAATTTAGAGAAGAAATAAAAGCTGACATCCATAACCAATCTTTACTCAAGTCCTTACAGGCTTTATAGTCCACCCAGAAAGAAGTCCAGAAGCTTGTCAGAGATGCCCTGCCTATACCAACTTCTGATCTGGTTCATCCCTTCCAACCTGGTGACTCTGTTTAGGTAAATAAATTTACCACCCAAGGACTGACTCCTACCTAAAAAGGACCACACACCATCATCTTGACCATCCCCATGGCAGTCAAGGTTGATGGGATCCTGATGTGGCTTCATCACACCCGGCTTAAGGCCGCACAGGCAGAATAGAGAGTCCAGGACTCTTCGACCCTCTAAAGATAAAACTTTCACATGTGTCCCGTTTTTAATTTTCTTTATAGGATTAAAGGGGACTTCCAAACTGAGTAGGTTAACAATGTTAACGATCCCCATAGGCCGTCCCAGAAGTAGATTTAGGAACTCAAAATAGAATTAATAGAGGAATTCTTACCAATATAACTAAACTAGACTAGGGGATATATTCCTTACCACCGACTTCATTATTACTCCTGGCCCTCATTCTTGGCCCTTATCTTATAAACTGGTTTACTAACTTTATTCAACAAAGAATTAATTCTATCAAGCTCATGGTCCTCAGGGGTCGATATAACCCTCTCCCCAACAGTGACCCACAAGAGTCAATGATTTGACTCATGAACATAAAACCAGTGGGAATGAAGTATAGGCAATTCATCTTGTCCCTGTAACCTCTATGCTGGGAAAAACTGCTGTTTGAAAATTTCCACTAAACACAGATAGTCCTTTGTTCTGTGAATCAACCCTGCTATTCTTGGCTTCTGTAAACACACTTGCTTGCTTGAATAATAGGGAAAATAAGCTCAACTATCTGGCCTTACAAGCCGTTCCACTGCTGGCCCTAGCTACTCCCATGCCTGGTGCCCTCCAGTTATCTGAAATGCTCAAGGCTACTGAGTTGTGCTGTGCTCAAGGTTACAAGCTTCTGGCAACAAACATCTACATAGGGCTCTGTGAAAAGCCTACAAAGGGTCCGGAAACTCCATATTTGGGAGACAAAGGAGAGGGTATAAAGGGAAAGTTTCCTCCATGTTGCTTTGCTCAGACTTTGAGAGACAACTCCTATGAGACTGCTAGTGTAATAAAAGACTCCAAATTAATTCAGCTTACTGATTGATTAGGGTGTCCTCTGTTTAGCTCGCTGATTTATAATATAACAAAAGCAGTTATGATGGGTACCCATGTCCTAGGCCAGTATTTTCCCTGAGGAGGTCAATTTTTACCTTAACTGAGCCTATTGTCTTTTTGCTTCATAACATACCTATGAAATATACCTTCCCTTCAACCACCACCCCCACCCCTGGAGCACAACCACATGCACCTGGGCACCAGGACAGGAAACCATAAATTGCTTCATTGCTATTGTTATCATGTTAATTGTTGACTGTTAACTATCCTGTACCCACCTAAGTAATTGTCTATTATTTTACTTTGTATCCAATCCCAGAGATTCCCCCCTTCGCTTTTTCCCGCCTCCCTAATCTATCACCAATGGATTTCAAGTAACCCACTCCTCCTTTGATGTAAGGTATAAAACAAGCTGAAAAAACACCATTCTCTGGAGCAGTGGTTGTCAACCTTTTGGACCACACAGACCACTAGTGGTCCGTGGACCACTGGTTGGCGACCGCTGCTCTGGAGCATTTTCCTAATCCTTTGAGATTCTGCTTCCCGGAAATTGTCGACAGTTTGGCTCAAATAAACTCACAAAAAATCTTTACAGGTTTGAATGTTTTTATATTAACACCTCTATGGTTAAGTACCTTCCCCTGCACCATTTTGACTTTATTGAGTATGATCTTATCTCTCCCTGTTCCCCTGCCCCCCCCCAATCCTGTACTGGGGGGTGGGAGGGTGGGGTGTTAAGCCCTTGGAGGGACAATACTGTGATTCCTTGGGGTGTCAAGATGTAGATTCCTGGTGAAGCAAACAGGCCTCTGTTTCCCAGCTGAATATGCTTAACAAATCTGACTCTTCCTTTGCATTCTTTCCCATCAGTAATTAGCTAACTATGGTAACAGTATGACTAGCAACATGCCAGGGGAGGAAAGGTCAGGGAAGGGTCCAAACCACAGGATCTGTAATATACTGTACTGGGGGAGGAAAGGTCACCCTGGGGGCAAGGTCCCAGGTTTCCCAGTTTTGCCCATTGCTAGGGCTTTCTACCCTGGTGACCTGTATGGCCCATCGTCCTTCCACTGATCATGTCTGTCTAACTGCCTACCACAAAGGGATTGAGAAGTACAAATTGGTTGTTACAGAATAGCCATGGGGATAATAATGTACAACATAGGAAATATAGTCAATTATCTACACTGATAAAAGAGAAACATGGTAATTGGCGTACGACCGCTACCCTTCCCATTGGCTAATCAGCGTATCCTTATGCAAATTAACTGTCAGCCAAGATGGCGGCCGGCAGCCATGCACTGAAGCGAGCAGGGAGGCTTGCTTGCTCCAGTGACTGCAGACTCCAACGTTCCCCGCCTCACTTGCCGGCCTCTCAACTGCAACTCTAAGCAACTATTACTATGTTGCAAATAAGAAGCTAAACAAAACCGGCTTTCAGTCAGCCCCGGACCGCAACATTGTATCCATGTTTTCAGCAGCGAGGCCTCAGAGCTAAAGCTGGCCCAGAATAAAAAAGAAAAAGAAAATAAGGAGCGGTTGGGAGCTTTTAGTCAACTGCCAGCGGGAAAACAGCCCTCAGCCCCTCAGCCAGCCTGGCCAGGCACCCCAGTGGGGACCCCCACCC